TTCCCTTACCTGTCGCTAGTCTCAGGCATCGGCTCCTGTCCGTGAGTGTCCTCCAGAGTCATAATGGTCCAAAGAGACACGAAGCAAAGGAAACAAAACACGAGGATTTATCCACACAAGGCTTGCTCAGCGCTCAAAGAGGCACCCCGGCAAAAATCGCAGCTCTCTCCTGTGTTCCCTGTAAAATTCCCAAGCGGAGTCTGAGCGGTAGAGAGCCGGGCTCACCCTTTTTATAGGCTGCCGAGCTTCTGTGCCGGCAGCTGCCGGAGACTCCGCGACTCTGCCATCTGTCCTGTGTCCCCAAGCCTCATTTGTTTATTTATTTAGAAATGCTCTCTGCTGCCTCTCCAAACAGCCTGCTTGAGGTGGCTTGCAGATTAAAACATGTTAAGACATAAAGCAGCATTTAAAAATAGTTTAAGCAATTATAGCCCAGAATAAAAACTTCAGCATTAGAAACCTGTGCATTATGCACAAGGCCCTCTTGCTGATCCCAGTTCTGTTGCTTTCTCTTCTGCCAGCCCGGATGCAAAAGATGAAGCTGTAGTTGCAGCTGTGTGTGGCATTGGTGGTGGATTTTTTTTTGGGGGGGGGGGGATATGAAAGAGTTAGCCTGGAAAGCCACAGGGAGGCTCTGCCTGCATGGCTCTCTGCCCCCTTCTCTACTTTGGCAGATTTTTCATTTGGCACATATTACCCAACTTAGGTTTTGCAGAAGAAGCCCCGAAGTGTGCCTGGCCGGGAAACCTTCCGTGCAAAGTTCACCAGAACGAGGGCACCACCAGGCCCGCATGCCTAATGAGCGGCTGTGCGGAGCAGATTGCGGATGGCACACGCGGCTCGTTTGCATTTCTATGGCTGGCGCACAATAGGGGCGGTCTGGCGTGTGGCAGTTTGGCCTCCAGACAATCGGGCCTTTCTCCTCATAGCAGCACTGTCCACCTGCCGCTGGGCTGCGGATTTGCTGCTGGCCGGAGGGGGGAGGGGGAACAATGGCACGACTCGCGCGCGCGCGGCGGCGGCGGCGGCCAAGCTGTTCTCTGCCTGATGGATGTCTCCACTTGCGCACGCTTCCGAAGGGCCCTTGAATGGCCGGGCTCTCGAAGCACGCGATAGGCCCCCTCGCTCTTTGTCGGGGCCATTCAGCCACGCTGTCAGGCATTGCAGGGGAGGCTCGGGCAGCACTGGCATGTGGCCAGCTTCGCCCCCCCCCCCTGGGGTGACTGATGAAGGTTCCGCCAGGCAGAAAGGATGCGCGACTCGCGCTCGTTCAGCAATAGGGTGGGAGACACACACCCCTTTCCCGGTCCTGCCGCTCAAATGGAAAAGTGGACACGGACCGTAAGAAGTGCATAGGGCAAAACGAGGAGTCTTGAATGACAATCGGTTCTCTTGATGCCAATGTCCAGCATCGTCGCTTTAAAAAACAAACAAACAGCCAAATCTCCTTTTGTCCATTTTAATGTGTAATGCTTGACGAGCAGCGCTACCTGCTGGATGCCGACCCGCATCCTTCCCGACATATGTAATATTGGGCAGGCACACTTCAAAGATTTCCTGGGGAGCGGGAGATCCTTCCAGAACACGCTTGAAAGAAGACTTGTGGAAGGGGGGGGGGGATATCCGATAATCCTGTGCACATTCTCGCTCTCCCTCTGAAAACCCGAAGCCGGCTCTTTCTGGCACATGGAGACAGCTGCTGCTGAGAATTTTACTACTGCCTTTGAACACGGCCTTGGCATGTCAAAGCGGGGTTACGCCACCTGGTGGCGACCTAAACAAAACTCAGTCGAAAAAAGGCGGCAAATAAGCAATATAAGCATGGGGAGCTTGACCACATTTTGCCACAGACTTCAAGGAGGTGGTAGGCTGAGAGGGTTGCATGTGTCTCCAAAATATTTATGAATCCCATTTGTCAGTATCAGGTTCATATCAGCTCTGGATCTTTTTTCCTGTGGTAAACTATATCCTATTGCTATAAGACAGGTATGAATTGGTGCCATTGCTGGATCGGAGAGTAAGGTCTGTGTTTCTAAACTGAACCAGTCGTAATGGTTAGGATTGGAACAGTTCAGTACCTACTGCCATGTTCATTACAGAAAAACTACTTTTAGGGTTGTCTGTAAGTGAATGCATCCCAACCAATGGCAGTGTTTTATGCTATGATCCGAAGAGGAATTAACACAAATTCACATGCACTGGAAAACATTGTTCCTCAGCAGGTTACACTGAATGCTGATTTGGGCCACAAAGGCATATAGTAACACCAACTGCAGGTCTAGTACAAAATACCAATTCTGTACGTACAGTACGTACAGTTAGGGGAAGAACAGATACTCTACCTGTCATAGAGCAGCCCTTGGGTGAATATAGCCATAATCCCATGCACCTAATAGCAAGTAAGACCCAGTGAATACAATGAATACAGTGGGGCTTATTTTTGCAGAGGGGACAAAATGCTTGGCATCAGTCACAGTTCTCTCAGAGCTGTTCTCTCAGAAGCAGTTCTCTCAGCCCCACCAACCTCTGTTGTTGGGAGAGGAAGGGGATGAGATTGTAAACTGCTGTGAGACTCTGAGTGAAGGGCGGGGTATAAACCTTCCTCCTCCTCCTCTTCCTCTTCTTCCATCTGCCTGCTGCATTTTAGATGAGCTGAAGTTTCCAAACCATTTTCAATGACAGCCCCAAAGTAAAACACTTTACAATAATCTAACCTTGATGCAAGCAGAGCATGGATCAGCGTGGCCAGATCATGACTTTTGAGGAATGGCCTTAGCTGATGAATCAGCTGAAGCTGATGAAAGGCACTACATGCCACAGAGGAAATCTAGGCCTCCAAACTATAGGCCAGGATCCAGCAGTACCCCCAGGGTATAAACCTGTTCCTTCAGGGAGAGAGCAAGAGCAGCCCCTCCAGGGCAGGCTGACTTCTTAGTCCCTGAATAACTTCTCAATTGACCACCATCACCTCAGTCCTGTCTGGAATGAACTTCAATTTATTCACCCCCATAGGGTTGCCAATCTCCAGGTGGCACCAGAACAAAAGGAGGCAAGATGGCAATAGAGAACCAAAGCCATGACCAAAACAGAAAAAAGTCATAAATAATTTACTGTTTTTTTCCTGTTTGGTCATGGTTTTGGTTCTCTATTGCCATCTCCAGGTGGTAGCTGGAGATCTCCCACTAATACAAATGATCACCAGGTGACAGAGATCAGTTCACCTGGACAAAATGGCTGCTTTGCCACGTGGACTCTATGGTAGCATACCCCACTTAAGTCCCTCCCCTCCTCAGGCTCCACTCCAAAATCTCCAGGTATTTCCCAACCCGGAACTGACAACCCTGCCCATGCATCCCACTACCATCTCCAGACACCTGTTCAGGACTTCCATAGACCCACCTCACTCAGCTGTAAAGGAGAAGTACAGCTGGGTGTCAACCACATATTGTTGCACCTGGCTCCAAATCTCCTGATGATCTTTCCCAGTAGTTTCATGTAGATATTAAATAGCCTTGGGGACAAGATGTTGCCAAACAGCAGTCCCTCAGCACCACCTTCATGATCAATCAAGTAAGAGCAGAACCACCAAAGCATGGTACCCTTCCCACTCCCAAATCAGCCAGCGTCTCCAGAAGGATATCATGGTTGATGGTACTGAACACTGCAGAGAGGCTCAGTCAGGGATGCACTTCCTTTGTCTGTCTCTTGGTGACTTTCAGGGCAACCAAGGCTGTTTCTGTTCCAAACTTAGGTCTGAAACCAGATTGAAATGGGTATAGATTATATATCTCCTCCAAGACTACCCAAAGCTGCATGGCCACCACCTATTCAAGCACCTTGCCCAATTTTTAAGCGGGGGGAAAAAAAGATAACAGATTTTGCCCAAGTAGTTTGTTTATAACCACAGGACACCCTCTTGTGGATAGAAGGAGAATTGCTCCTCACCCTTTTTATTTTTGTGAAATCATCTTCACCTTTATGTTTTTAAAACAGCAAAAGTGTAATTTGTAACATTAAAAAACTAAGTACATTTTTTCATACAGGAAAAACACACATGATTTATAATATATTTAAAAAACCCTTTTTACTGCCCTTTAGAGCATCATTGCAGTAAAATGTTATTTCATGATATTATTCCACTTTAAGATAGTCTACTCTATAGGATACTATTGGAATATGTTCAACATTTTTGGAGCAGAATTTGCTTAGGAAGTGAATACTAAGATACATATCCTGCCAATATTATACAATTTTAAGTCCCACTGGTTTAACTGGAGAGTTGGGGTGCAGTCATAAAAGTTATCCTGCAAGTTTCTTAGGAAAGCAAGGAGCCTCTCACTAGACTGATGAGGCAGGAACACTGGTATGATTCAGAGGCATCTCTCCTTATATATAATTCTCTTTTGGTCATGGACTCCCCTGAACATTCCAACACGCTCCCAAATCAGTTGGTTCCCTGATCTGTCACTCAGAGGGTCTCCCTATCCACTGGCTGCGTTGCCTGAGTCCTGCCTCCAACATTCTAAACAGTTTGCTGTTCCTCTCCCCCCCATAGCCAGTCAGAACACAGAGGTCATTTGCATATGTGGCCTCGGAACACAGAGGTCGTTTGCATATGCAGCCTCATTGGCCTTTGCCTCTAACATTCTAAACAGTTTGCTGTTGCTGTTCTGAGGTAAAATAAATTTCCTCTTAGTGTCTGTTGGGGGAAACTATTGTTGCCAATCTCCAGGTGAGGGCTGAAGATCACTCAAAATTACAACTGCTTTCCAGATGGCAGAGATCAGTTCCCCTGGAGAAAATGGTGGACTCTGTGTACTTGTATCCTGCTGAGATGGCCCCTGTATGACAGCCAATGTGACGTAGCAGTCAGGGCTTCAGAGCACGGTACAAGCTGCAGGTGGGGGAGTGGAAAGCTGAACAGTGAGGGGGAGATCAAGGTAGGTTGATGACTGGCTGGGAAGGAGATAGGGTTGCCAACCCTAGATGGGAAATTCCTGAAGATTTGAGGGATGGAGCCTGGAGAGGGTGAGGTTTCAGGAGGGGTGGAACCTCAGACAGGTACAATGTCATAGACTCCAGCCTCCAAACCAGCCAGTAACTCCTGAGGAACCATTGTTGCCAATCTCCAGGTGGGAGCTGAAGATCACTCAGAATTACAACTGCTCTCCAGGAGGGAGAGGGGGAAAG